GAAGAATAGAAAGGAACTGAAGAAATATTTTATATAGCATGGCTGATAATTTTTCAAAATTGATGAAAGATACCATATCACAGATCCTGGAAGCTCAGAGAAAAATAAGCAGAATATAAAAAAATCTATACCTAGACATATGTTTAAAGTACAGAAAATCAAAGACAAGAAAAAAACCTTGAAGCCAGACTAAAAACAAAAAAGAGGGAATATTGGTCCAAGGAATATTTCTACAGTAAGTTTCTTTGCTTACCAAATAAAAATTCATCTGTAGAAATTTACAATATAAGTACCTTTTCTTATAATAATTAGCTATATAAAATGGTCCCAATGAAAAATATTCGCTTTTTAAAATCTAAGGTTTTCATTATTATGCTCTGTAGAACAAACCCTAAAACACGGAACTTGATATTTATGATCTTTAAGTCCCCAAAGGTAGCTTGAAATGGGGATGGTACAGTAACTGTCATTAGTTTCCCCCAGTACTGAAAAGATTTTCCCTTTAGTAATAACAGGGTTATAGCTATACAAAATCTTGACAGACCAAACTAAGTACTGTTCAATAATTATGGATTCAAATGACAACTCTTAATTACACAGTATAATTTCAATTGGGTTAAAGTATCAATCTATTACCTTCTGACAGTTGTAAAACATGACTGCAAATTCTTTGAAACTCTCTCCATTGAGATGTCCTATCCCTTGAATCTGGGTGGATTTATAACTACTTCAACTAACAGAGTACTGTGGAAATGACACAAGGCTAGGTCAGAAGTCTTAAAGTCTCTGCCTTGGCCATCTGGAACTTGCTTCCTCCCAATATACTACTGGTCAGGACACTCTACCCCAGAATTCAACCACTATGATGTGAGAAGCTTCATTCACATTTTCCCATCTGATCACCCATTGATCAAAAAGTAGACACAACCATCCCACTGTGTCCTATTCAAATTTTTGACCTTCAGAATCTGCAAGCACTATAAACTATTTTACAACTAAGTTTGGAACATTTCCTCATGACGTTTGCTATTTACCTGAGTAACATATTATCCTTCCAGTGCTTCTTAAATTTTTACAAACCAAGGCATACTGGTATATGAATCTATAAATATAAGCAGAAGTATTCTACAAGATTGGCTGTGACTGACCACTAATGAAATTTATTTAAATAGAAAATGAGTGAGGAGTCCGGGCATGGTGGCTCACGCCTGTGTAATCCTAGCACTCTGGGAGGCCAAGGTGGGAGGATCGCTTGAGTTCAGGAGTTGGAGACCAGCCTGAGCAAGAGCAAGACCCCGTCTCTACTGAAAATAGAAAAAATTAGCTGGGTGTGGTGGCACACGCCTGTAGTTCCAGCTACTCGGGAGGCTGAGGCGGGAGGATGACTTGAGCCCAGGAGCTTGAGGTTGCTGTGAGCTAGGCTGATGTCACAGCACTCTACTCCAGGCAACAGAGCTAGACTCTGCCTCAAAAAAAAAAAAAGAAAAAAAGAAAATGAGTGAGGAGGAGAGTATGGCCTAGCAGTTCTCATTCTTAAAAATTTAGGACCCCTGAAGAACCTTTTCATTTATGTGAGTTATTATCAATACCGATC